ACAAATATGTGTTTATATTCTCTGTGTGGTACTTTAGAGAGGTCATTTTTTTAAATTCTCATTAATATTTGAGATAATGAGGAAAACTTGGCTCTTTAGGTTAAAAAATAATGAAAGATTAAAAATAAGGTTGTCATTGGCAACCGTTTTTATTTATTTTTTGTTATTATTATTTTAATAATATTTTATAAACAATCATTATTGTCATAAAAACGCACATTGTTGTAATAATTTTATCATAATATGACATATATATTGTTGACAAGCACTTTTTCGGTTAGTTATCTTTTTCGATTTTTTCACGTCGTATTTCAATGGATGTGGAATTGTCCGATGGAGTGTTATGAATTAGAACATTTATCGACATTATAAAAGTTATCTTTCCTAAGTTTATTTTTGTTTTATTGATTTCTAGGTTATATTGTTATTGTAGCAACAATGGAAAAAAACACAATAACCACTACTCCGTCAGAATCGTTTTTTGTTTGCAATGATACATAATTGTATTATATTATTATTTCAGTTATACGATGTTTATGAAGTTATAAATAATATTGTGCTCTGATCGATTATGAAAATTGAAATCTGATTATAATAATTTGTATACGGTCCGCGTGTCTTTTCATTGATGTGTGATTTCGATGAACCAGTATTTTAAAAATATAAAAACCGTTTTTGTTATTATATTCAGTATTTTATTACCATAAGAGGGTAATAATAAAACCGTGTCTATTACCCACATTCTGGAAAGAGTAAACTTTTTCATAAATTATAAATTCAATCGAGCGATAGATGGACTGTATATACGCGCAAGTATATAAACACCCCGCAGTGTAACTATAATAATATGAACCGTCGATTTTGGTTTCCGTTCGGAGGGATAGATAATATATACTCGACCGGAAGGAAGTCAATCTTTCCCCGATACCCAAACGATTAATCTGTATTGATTTCTCGGTATTTGCCAGTTTTATTTTACAAACCGACTATTTCTCCGGTAATAGAAATTTTTACGATTTATTTCACACGAATTGCGAATAATTTAGATATTCTGTAAACTTTGGCTAAACCAATCTATTTGAAAATAATTGGTTCATATTCATTTTTGATTTGGACACAAACGGTAAACCGTAAACGATAATAAAATATAAAGCCAGGCATACCATGGGTAAACCGCTGTTGTAAGTGGGAATTTGGGAAAGTAATATGCCTAATAGGGTATAGGGTAGTTAAGTTTATAATATATAACTGTATATGCAGCGATAAATCATTACAAACAAAAAATGCAGATTCTAAGTAAAATTCGGTTAAAACATTATTCTGTTAAATTATATTGGTTTTATTAATTTGTAAGTGGAAAAAAAAACGAATTAAACAAATTAAAATTTAAAATTCAATTTAAAACAGATTATAACTCAATGCACTAATGAAACAAAATGTGCTACTAAAAACTACTCCTAAAATGTAGACGATTGGAGTAAAGTTTCTGATCGAAAATATGTTTACAGGCAGACAAAGACATTAAAAAATAAAAAGACACAGCTTCAGTTAAAATTTAAATTTTACGCAGTATACGTAATTAATACTCGTATGATTTATACCAGAGCTCCATATTACACGTGTACAATGTACATACTTTCATGTATTCAATTGAAGTTAACATTCGAATTTTCAAAATCGTGTGTTTAACAAATTCGTGTACATGTAAAATTATTTACATATTTCATGTTATTTTTCACGTATTTTCACTACGTCTTCACGTGAATAACACTAAAACACGTGAATAATGATAGTAATTCATATTTCCAATAGAAACCTCTATTTTATGCTTAACATTAATTTTTTTAATTGATTATTTATACTTTTTTCATCTGCAAAATATTATTTGTGAATTTGTGATATTTATACTCACTCTCGTGGTTTGTATTGGGTACGATGTGTACTTAACGCGGTTTATTTTGAAATTAATTACTTTCATCGTAATTGGATATTTTATAAATATTTTTAAAATCGCCTCTAATGGATTCATTGTCATAAAGTAATTAAATTTCGTTTGTATTATTATCGTCCTCTGCATAGTTGGGTAGGTACTTGCTTAGCATAATAATGTGCAAAATATTTAAACGTGTTTTCTATACGTGACACTGAAATTATTTTAAAGATATATGAATTCGTTATTCGAATTAATAAAATACTTAAAATACTTCGTAATTAAAGTACATAAGTATACTTACATATATTGAAGACATAAACCGGTAGATAATGCAAATAAATTATAATTCGATGAAGTTATCAAGCTGAACAACAAACAATAAAAATCACTCAGTTAAAAGTCAACGCAAACAAAATTTTACTGTTGTAAAAGTTAAATTGCGAAAAATGAAAAACCGTTAGTTTGACTAATTATTTATCATTAGTGTTGATGATTAATGTATTATTTATAGTATGATATTTCGGAACCGTAAAAAAATTAAATTAGACAATCGTTTAACCACATGGACGTTTATGATGACTATAATTGACTAAAAATTCGAGTTTAATATAACGAAAACTTGATAGTCAACAGCTAATCGGTTAACGACAAACAAATTACAAAAGTGAGTTAATACGTTTTAAAACAAAATTAACCTTAACTAGTCAACGTCCCGTTACGTTAAAGTATAGATACCTTAGTACTTCGTAAATTATAATAAAAGTAGTGTGTTTATTTTTATTTTTGGTGGGATGAGACGTACATCGGTTTTCGATTTTGAACGAAATGATAGGAATGTATTGGTATGGCTATGTGTTTTAATTTTTTTTTTTTTTTTGTGGCTGAAATTACTTTTTTATCATAATCTTGCTCAAATCAAAAACTATGTAGGAACTTTACTGTAGTATTTTTGATTTCGTTAACGTCTGAATACTACTCGTTTTAATATGTATAATATATTTGTCTAATATACTATTATTGTCATTCTACACTCCAGCAACCCACTATAGGACAACGATGACTAGAATGAATGATATCATTAATATATGTATATTTTTTTTTACAAACTCACCCACGCGACTGACATCATCGTATTATTGTGTTGACTTGTCCTTGTCATCATAGAACCAGTGCTAGAATTGGGAAAATTTAAGAAGGGGTACTCTGTTTACTTATACAAAATTAGCGTCCCCGTCACTTCTTATACCTCATTGTAACGTGGGGGAATATTCCCCCCACACCATCCTTACACCTTCTTTCATTAATGGTAGTAATACCCATTTTATTCTTTAAAGAAGGTTTTTTTTCGGTTTTTCACATTTGTTGAGAAAACGCTTGAGAAAATAAAAAAAATATCTCCCCAATGAAATTTTTTTTCAGAAAAATTGCTGTCTTTATACGTTGGAGTAAAATTGTTGGTAGAAAAGTTGTTTACAGAACAGAAAAAAAAACAAACATCTTTGTAATAGGCTTTTTCGCTCCACTTAGAATCTATAAACAGTAGAGGTACATTAAAATTTTTTAAAAATAAGTTGAGGTATTCAGTCCTCCCCCCAATTTGAGCATTGCATAGAACTGTTATAATAATTCTATCTGCCGGTTACAAAATAATAGAAATTTGTTAACGCACGCATCTATAAGGTATCTTATACATCTTATGTATATAAGTTGTATCAGTATCTATTATATTTTTTTAAAATAATATTAGTTTTACTATACGATCTTTGTACGACCATTGGCTCTTGAGGTTGGTTTCTGGTAGAAAATCTTGTTCAGTTAGTGCGCATTGGAGAAGTCGGTTTTTGATTTAATTTGTTGTTTTAGCAATAGTAAAAATAATAGGAAAAAACGGAAATATTTACGCAATGACGTTTTCGATCTGGTATATTTATTTTATAATTCAGTAAAACACAGGACGTAAAGACTTGGATTTTTCATCGATTATTTATAAATTAGAACTATATATTTAGACAATAGTATAATTTTATACCCATCTTGGCGTTTTTATTTTCTTGTTCGCTGATAAAAATATTGTCATTTTATTTTAATTAACGTTTTAAATTTAATATACGAATAATAGTGTTAATTTATTTTGCAGTTGCAAATCAATAAAGATTTCATTTATATTTATCAGAAAAATAAAAAAATGTTTAATTGTATTCCAAACTGGCCCGTTTTTCGTTTAAAATTATTTATCATTGCATTATACGTGCATACAGGCGCCCGGAGGGGGACAAGATGGGGCATCTGCGCCCCCCTGATTTCAAAATTTCAAATATAATTTTAATAATTAGATAATTTATATTATTTTTAATGGTGTTTGATTTAATTATTCTCCTCCTTATGTCAGTTTGGTCTTCAAATGGTCCAGGCAGGTTCTTATTTAGGGTAATACGTAAAAAAATAAGAAAAAAGGAGGCCATTTGAAATATACTAAAACACTGCCCTTCCCTGATAAATTTCCTGCGAGCACCCATGTACGTGCAGTATATTATTATAAACTAAATCACCTTATATGTCTCCCACATTCCTTACTTTTCACCTACAACTATCTTCTATAATTACTAATTTTTATTTTATTATTTAGGTTTTACGGTATTTTATAATAATATCGTACAATTGTCCGACTCATATAACAATAATATGGAGATTTTATGGTAATAAACTATACATAAAAACGCACTAAGCTAAAACGGGCAACAATTGATGCGATTCGTAAACGCGACCGAAAAGGTACGGGATTATTTCAAATTTTGGCGGACCATTTGTCTCGTTGTTGGCCGGCGACCGTTGTGGCGGCGACGTGAAGTCACCCGAACAATTTACATAATTTACTATAAACAATATATGCACCGTTGCACAACAGTATATTATATTCTAAGCATATTACTTAAGCATTAAATCGGTATTTTGACATTTAGTAAATTTATACGGAGCGCATTATGCGGGATACATTATACAATAATAGTATAGGTATCAGAGTAGTAATAATTAGGCAAAACAAACTATAATATAAACGTATTAAAATGGTGTTATTATTTTCTGGAATGAATTCTACGCGAGCTGCTTGTGAAGCGGGTAGTGAATCATATATTGTTTGTCAAAGGGTCGGTCACAAAACCCATAAGTATATGGCATTTAGAGACAAATTCCGCGTTGGAAAACACATATGAAACCGCAAAAGTAACCAGAGAATTGAACATATTATTAACTGTAGTACCGTAGCCAGTAATAAATAATTAAAGTAATTACTTAGTGGTGATTTTTTATCTCTCAAAAATATTTCTATTTCTGTTTCAAGTTCGTATATAACCGAGTCAAAACTTTTCCTCACAACAACTAACGAACATATGAATGCGTAACAGAAAATATGCAAAACAAATGTTTGCTTAGTCAAAATTAGATTAAATAATGCTTTAAAATTATGTGAACAATACATATTTTGCCAATATTACGTTTTCTGTTTTAAATGATATTATATAGGATTCATATTTGATATGGTTTATGTATTTATTGTTGATATTCCTAATTCGTTTATATTATTTTAAACTTTATGTTGTCGACCTTAAACAATTAATTCACAACCCCAAGGTTGAAAAACATTGTTATAGTCCACAGGTTGAAAATTATTGAACATATTTTCAGGTAGACATTGGTCCAATGGTACCTATTCTTTCAAACAATACATCTGTTATTGCAAATAATACTATGTATTAATAAAGTAGAATGGCTACAACACGATTGCACATAAAACACCTTTTTTATGACACGATTGAGCAAATTTGTCGGCGTATCGAAGGATATAGAAATAAAAAAGAAAACCTATACGATTACATTAAATAATTAAATAATTCTGTGATGTTGCCATTTTCAATTTTGAACGATATTATACAAAAAATATTTATTTAAATAATTGTAATAACTTAAACTATAGTATGAATTAAAAAGTAACATGATTTTTTGTTATTAATAGTTAAATTTCATAGAACTGATTGATAATAATAATAATAATAATAATAATAATAATAATAATAATAGTATTAAAATAATGAAATATTCATACTTGCTGGTTACTACCCATCGTAAATTTAATGATAAAATAGTTGATAATAATAATTAATTAAATTGATATACCTTGGTATTTGCTTCCAAGTTGGTTTAAATATAATAGTAGAGATTCCGTAGTCTTATGATTTGAATATTGATCGTAGGATTTTATATTAAATTCCATATTAAAAAAATAGAAACTGAAACTTTTTTTTAACGCACTATATGTAACACGGACTATGGGTAAACACTATCAGACATTACATAAACTGAATTATTTTCATAATAATTTTGGAATAGTTATTAATCTTCTATAACCCTCTATAACGGTCAGTATAATTATAGATACAATTAATATTTATTGCTATCAATAACATTTGTCAATAAAGCTGGACTTGGTTCACTGCTCGTTTAAGTTTAGTATCATAACAATTGGTGTAATAATACGTGAAAATATAAACATTTCAGCAACTTGAATGTGGCAACGTCGCATAAAATATTCTATGCTTAATTGTGTTTCTAGAAAGTTATATGTTTTATCGTATTGTACAGTGTAGAATAATGATAGTAAACAATTGATTCGATGATTTTTTCCCCCCAAATATCAATAAAAATGTCTGCAATAATTACAAGAAAGAGCGATAAGACAATCTCTCCAGGAGAGGAGGGAGGGCGGTGAAAAATAAAAAAACGAAATTGCATGATTTAGCAAGACTGGGTAAATTAATAAATAATATTAACTCAATTAAGTCAAGTTAATTGAAAAAGAGTTTAAGAGTTGACTAGTTTACACGTTAAAAGTTAATTATTTGATTTTTTTTTTATTAAAATGTATTATTGTTATTATTATGGTAAAAACAATTAAACTTGTTTTTATCTTTTTTTTTTTTTTAATGAGGACGATCAACGTTAAATACGACGAGATTACTTTGGGAATATTAAATTATTGACGTCCGGGAATTGGGCCACAATGAACCTTTTTTCAAAAAGGTATACGGTAATTAGGCCACTAAATTTTTACATTTATAACAAGTAGATTCGGTGATTGGGCCACTATTTTAAACGATTTCTTATTATTGAATCCGGTATTTGGGCCACTATATTTTAATAAATTTTAGATTTGACAAATGGCAAACCTCTATTTAACACCACTATTTTAAACCATATTATTATTTTTTCCATGATTAATAATTTAAATTTCTTATGTTCGTTTTGATAGATTTATATTGACGGCACTTTTGAATCCTGTGCAAAGCAATCTGTATCATATTATTAAAAAAAAAAAAAATTAATAATTAATTAACTAATTTTATATTATGTATTTTAATATATTTAAAATTATATATTTTTGTGTTATACATTTGTGGCCTAATCTCCCGGTATCCTTTAAAAATATATTTTTTATTTGTGGCCCAATACCCGGGTAATAAAATGTATACAAATATTGTTTACGAAACAGGAAGATGTGGCTCAATTCCCGACCAATTCCTAAATTATACCCATTTATTTTAAATTCCGAAAAAAGTTATAATTTATACGATAGTACGTATACTTATTTAAATAGTGTGTTAGTAAATTTGATATTGTGTAAACTAAACAAAATTTAATTCATTATTTATTAAGTTAATGTAAACAAAAATTTGGCTAAAAGTTAAATTAGTAAAAACTTAAATTTTACAAGTTAATATTAACTGAACTTTTAACGTAATTATTAACTTTTTAACTCATGATGTTAACTCATGAATAATGAGTCTAGTCTCGCATGTTTGTCTGTTCATGTTATTTTCCTTAATTACGCTTAAAAATATAAAATACTGTACTAAATCAATGTAGTGTGAAAATAAAAAACCGCATACGCCTAAAAGTACCATAAACATGAAATGATTATGATACAAATATTAAAAATTCGGCCAATGAGGGTAGGTTATTATTCCGTACGCCACTGATTAACGGGGTAGGTAATCCACAGTCCGGACAATTTAAGATGCGATATAAATAGACTTTCAAAAATAACAAAATTATATATCAATTTCGTAAAAGATAATTTATATCATATTATTATTATCATCATTCCCCTCTTCCTGTTTTGAAATTGTTTTTTTTTTGCAAAACTTTATTAGTTTAAAATCGTTAGAAAATAATATTATTGCCTTATAGCATTAAACAATTCGTACGACTACGCACGAAACAATATTATAAAACTTTGAAGGACATAAGAATAAACACTTACAAACTTACTCTAGGTATACCTAAGTTCTAAAGTATACTCGAAACTTTAGAATGAAAATTAAATCAACTGTCGCGAGATTAATAATAATAGTCGATTGGATGCAGTCACATACGTCTTTTATAAAAATACTTTTCAAAGCATTTTTCATTTTAAACACATTTTTGGGGTTGATGTGCTATATCGATAAAGCATATATAAATATTATAATAATATATATTTTTTATAATATAAATATTATTAATTTATTAACGTTTAATAAAATCAAAAAATCGTGTAACAAAATACATTATTATAATACTTTCCGTGTCAAACCGAGTACCGCAGAAGCCTTTGGAAGACATGGCAATGGGTAGGGAACGCCTAGAGAAACTAACACCCATTTTTATTTCTTTGTACGCGGTGTTGGAAAATAATTGGACTGGGAAAAGACCCCTAGGAAGATCGCAAATGAGATAAGAAAAAACGTCAAGAAGTAAGATGCCGAAGAACTAGGAGGAAAATTAAAATGGAAAGCACGAGAATCAGTTAAAGATTGCCGAAGGTCTGGATTTATGACAGGATCGGATATGGCACTAGAGGATGATGCCTCGAAGCAGAAGATAATATAAAATGTCGGTACTGTAGGTATACTAGATAGCTATACTCGTTAATTTACGTGTTTATTTATTTCGTTTAACCTTGATTACGAGCAAACAGTTTTATTTCTTGGGTAAACGTATAACAGTTTGAATTCGAAATCGACGTATACCTTCCGTCAGGATTGACAAAACAACCGGAATAAGTTCGTTTAACGTATTACACATACTTTTTAGTTTATTACAATTGTATTATACCTAATTTAGCAACAGTTCCACCAGAAAAATACGGGCATGACACAACGTCTTTTCGAGTCTTATATGTTAGTTTAATTTTACAAAGTATAGCATATAAATAAAATAGTCTTTTAATGAAATGATTACCTACAAACATTAAACCTTTTTTTTTGAAATTGCAGGTGTAATTTTTTAGCTCTGCTTCTATTTCGATAAGGATAAAATATTTTAACTTTTAAGTTGCGTGATAAAAAGTGATTTTTGGAAATTTGACTCCTTAAGAGGCTCACGCAAAAATTTAGTCATTAAAATATAAAAATTTCGTTTTTTTTTCTTTTACTAGGTTATCTTGGTGACACGAAAGAAAAAAATTTTTTTTTTTTATTATTTATGAGTAATTAATTTTTGTCAAGGATAGTTAATAAATGTTGCATTATAAAATAATTTTTTTTAAAAAAAGACGTTCTAGGATAATGGGGACGGGTGCAGCCACTGTTATTGGTGATTTAATGTGTACCTGTAGTCAACGATAAACCATTGCTTACGAAAAAACGATTCTGAACGAGGTTCAGTTGATAGTGACGCTTTATCAACAATATATATGTCATTTTATAATAAAATAATTAAATATGCTTTATATTTTCTTTAATAAAATTTGTTTAATGTTGTACCGATTTTCCAATTTTTCCTACGTTTTTCCCGGTTTTCCAATGTTTTATCCCGGTTTTTCACATTTGCTGGGTAAAATCCTGAGAAAATCGAAAAATGACCTCCCTAGTAAAATTTCCTTTTAGAAACATTGCTATCAATATAAGTTGGAGCAAAATTATTGGTAGGAAAGTTGTTCACAATTGTTTTAATTGGAGCATTTGCTAAACCAACAGTATTTTAAAAAATAAAAACTATTTTTTGGAAAAAGTTTTGGGAATTTCATAAAAAAATTTTAAATATAGTTAGTAAAAAGAACACTTGAAAAACCTGACTTTTTTTATTAAACATATAAGTTTTTTGTGTAAAAAAGTCTGTAAAACTCTTCGTTATAATTAGAATCTAAAAATGTTTTTCATCGAATGAATAAAAAATTTTAACAATTTTTCCACCAAGGGGCAACAATGGTGGATGTCCCATATTATTATAATATATTAGTATATAACATATTTTACAATAGTGAGTCGGCTCAATGCCCCGCGTGAATTCGGCTGAACCAATTAGAACGATTGAATTTCTGCCGGCTACATACAGTGTGCGGGAAATCATCGGACGAGTGATTATTTATCTTATAGACTTGAAATTCCACCGACCGTGGAATTTCCCATTTTCCGTCACGCGTCGGTCATTAGTCTCTCTGCGACAGTGTGACCGGAATTTCGACAACAACTGCAATATCATTTGGCCGACGACGACCTAACTCTCCTGATACACTCACTTCTCCCTGGACGATAATAAAATTACCAAAAAAATCGAGATCCGGGTGTATAGCAACTCTGAATCTTAAAAATCCTTTACATTCTACAAACTTTATACTGTCCCAAGGAAATTAATATCCTAAGTGTAAACTTAAAACATTTAGTAGTCGAACAACCGCGTCGGGTGTAAATTGAGGTAAGGGCAAAAGCCAGTAAGTCGGGTAAATCACGTTTTGAAGTAGAAAGTAGTGATGAGCATTGATATTAAAGTATAAACCGATCATCGTATATCAGCCGATATTGAGAATATCTAAATATCAGATGACGGGTTAAAAAAAAAAATAAAAAAAACCATTAATTTTCAATAGACGTTTAATTTCGCTATATCGCGATATGAAAAACTCGTTTACTTTATTAATGTAAATCAAAGAATAATTGTAAATGATTTCTTGTTAAAAAAATTAACGTGAACGATATTGGTAAATATCGCCTGACGGTTTTTATCGGTATCGATATTCGAATATCAGGTATCGGAAAAAAGTCACATTGGCTCACCAACCACCGTGGTATAAAGTCGATAATCCTGCAGTCCGTCACGGTCCGGGGCCGTCGGTTCACCGGCGTTATATCCGTGTCCCGATATAGTGAATTCAAACTTCAATTGTCGGTATGTACGTTTTGTTCGGGGTCCGTGTGTTCCTCGTCGCCCGAGAAGACGTCTTACATTCGCCCTTCACTCTGGTTGTTCCGGCGAGCTTCGCGCCATCGTCATCGGCGGCGGCGACGACGACGACGGTAATTTGGTTTCCATCGTCTCCGGGGCCGGAACGGCGGCGCGCCGTATTGTTATTGTTATTCCGGCGGGCGGCGGGCGTGCGCGCGTGCCCCCCTCGGTAACACGCGATACACATCACGTCAAAACCGATACCGTCATTATTTTGATATCGTGTGCGCGCGCGCGTAATGTAAGTGTAAGTGCGCGCACGATGCATAAGCCGCGCGGCCCGCTCGGAGCGTGTAGTGCCCGACCCTTCCCGTCGGCGGCGACACCGAGATTTCAATCAACGTCGTCTCGAGTGGGCGCGTCGAGAAGTCAGCCGGGCCATAGGGCTCGCCGGGGCGGCGGCAAATGCGCGTGCGCGTTTTTCCGTTTCGAAAACAAACGGCGACGGCGTCGGTCGGCGTTATAACATTGTGGCGACGCGCGTTCCACGCGGGCGAGGCGCGCGTAATGGTAAACAATCTGGTTGTTGTTTTTTTTTCGTCTGTGTACGTCCAAAGAGTTCGGATACACGACGGGGGCGAGTACGTGCCGCGGAGCCGCGAGATAAACCGGCCGTCGACGGCTGCTGCTAGACGGCGCGCGGCGGTGCCGGGTCAGGTCGGGTTAGGACGTTTGATTGTTTGATCGGTTTAATCACGGTTAAACGTTCGGCCGGGTCGTACCGCGCTGTCGTAAAGCCACCGGATATACCAGCCGGTTATATACGCTAGTTGATTTAGGGCCATGTCGGCGATGTGTCCCCCCCCCCTCCCGTATAATGATTGTGCAAATACGAGGGTAAACCGGATATTGAATATCTGTGCGACGTCGGCGGGTCGACGGTATTCGGATCCGAAATCTAACCGACCTAAAAAAAATGTCGGAAAAGGGAAAAACGGCGGAAAATGTGAAATGGAAGTTTCACATTTGACGTTGACATTATACCCGCCAAATTGAACAGTAATAATAACTATGCAATCTTAAAATACCTACTCATTTTTTCGGAGCAATCAAAATTAATATTGTATTTTGCATTGAAATCCGAGATGCGCTCTGTCGGTTTGAGTAATAAATTATTCAGCGTTTTTTGAATTTATATACACAATCGGTGGTGACACGTCGACATATCCTCGTAAAAATATCCGCGGTTAATATTTTAACCTAAAATGTTTAACTTTTATTATAAAAGTTGGGATTAGATATATTATACGATAAGTAGCACAACAATAATCGCACTTTATCTAAAGCGCTTGTATGTTATTCGTTATTTTGATACTATTGTATAGTATGTCGTTTTCGTTACCTACAACGCGTGTCGTGAGTCAGCTGTCTTAAACTGAGTTATTTAATTGACGTTTTTTATAATTTTAAACAATAAAATCTTAGAATTTATCCAAAGCTAAAAAGGTAATAAATTAGTAATATTTGAATATTAAATGAATATTCACTTAAACATTTTTTAATTCATTTTTTGTGTTCTATAAATGTTAAATAGTTGTATTCTACTAATATTATAGGGTTATTTAATTTTTATAATAAAGGTTAATATTTTAAATTAATATTTACGCGGGATGTTTTTTATTTTTTATTTTTATTTTTACCTGGATATTTTGTTATGAAACCACAGTCGGTATTAATATTAGATATTTCGTATAATGGGTAGGCCACTGTAGTCTGTATAATAGTAGGGAGATTTGATAGATAGAGAATTTTGAGTATGTTTTGAAAACAACGATAAATCATTGCAATCATAATAACGATTCTGAGCGGAGTAGTGTTAGTAGTTTTAGTCGTGTTTTATTCCCTTGTAGCCAAATGTGACCTGTAAATAAACAAAATTGAAACCGATTATTTAAATTTGTTGTCAGTTTTTTGAATTTTACAGACAAACGCTCCGAAATCTAAAAATCTTTATCAAATAATGAAGTACCGTAGTTTGGCGAAAAATTCACAACTTTTAAGGTACGGTGTGGAGAATTCGAAGAGTCGTTTTTAGTTATCAAGTGTAAAATATATCTTAGTAAAATCAATACTTCGCTACAATTAGAATTAAAAAAAAAAAAAAAAACTTGCACATACTTTGCACATGGATAGGCTACTATTGTTAGAGGAGAAGTTTGGAAGGTCGAGAGGAAATTTAATTTATATGGCTGTACACAACGATTAACGGTTGCTAGTAAAAAACAATTTTAAGCGGAATTTGGTGAATAGTATTGCTTTGTCAATAATATATATATTTATCATATTATGATAAAATTTAATGTTGTATCTATTTTCTCGTTTTCCTATTTTTTCATCGGTTTTTCATATTTTAAAATATAAAAAAACTCCCCCAAAGTGCCACGCCAGTCAGATTTCCTTTCGGAAAAAGTGCCAAACTTGAAAACAGGGGAAAAATTGCCAGTAAAAAATTGTTTACAGAGCAAAAAAAAAAAAAAAAAAAAACAACATCTTTGTAAAACCAATACATTACTCGCTCAGAATCTAAAATATATCGTGAAAATTGCAATGATTTCTCCGTTCGGAACCTCCGTGTAATATAATTTATTAGAAAATCGCGTAGTTATAAAAGTATGGAAAAAAATAAAAAAAACTTTTCTCCGCAATATTCTAATACAATATTATTATAGTTTTGACGGTCCGTATTTTATTATTATTATTTTTTTTTATAACGTTATTATTTAGACGAGTACCTCGTTATCGGACGCGATACCCGCCTTTAATAATACCGTGACTGGCGAACGTGTGCGCGTAGAGATTTTTTTTTTTTTTTTTTTTTCGAACAACGGTCGTTGTTGCGCGCTTAAGCGTTTTCAACGTACTCGAACGCGGCACCGCGGGCGCGCGGCCGTAAACGCACATACCTACGAGGTATGGTTACGGGCACGTGAAGGTATTATCCGCGTACCGTATTCACCGTGGCCGGTATCGTGCGTCTGTAGGTGGGTAAGGCGCGTGCGATGCCGGAGAGGATTGTACCGACAAATCTAGACGCGCGATTAGTTTCGGATCCGGACTTGTTGAATCGGCTCGGGCCGACCCTAACCGCGTATTATAACGATACACCCCGGCGGCACAGGTATCGGTGGGTGGGTGGGTGGGGGGATGGGTACCCGCTGTTGACTATTATACGGGCGTGTTGTAATGCGGCCGAGCGCGCGAGCGTAAACGTGCGAAGAACGTCATTAGACGGCGCATTATTACACGCTCGTGTAATGTTATTATTATTATTGTCGTTGTTGTTGTTGTACCTACGGCCGGCTGCGGTTACACGCGGTTCACGGTGGCCGTCGATCCGTGATACCGGTCGATAACGAGCGCGTTATCGGAGACGCCGAAACGAAAAGAACCGTACGCAACAACACCGCGCGCGCGCAGGCACCGATAATAACGATAATAATATGAAAATACGAAAACGGTTCATTAGCGCGAGTTAAAGCCGCCGTGTTAAAGGCTTGTTAGCTCGTTAGAGCGCCGTTGCGCAGTGGGTACTCGTATATCAATCGACAACGCGCGCACGTTAACGAAAACGAAATCTAACCGCGCCACGGACCGTGGGCACAATAGTAAACTCGTATGCGCGCGCGCGCGCGCGGGAGCACCGACCGTCTTCGGTAGTATTTGTACAGGATGGTTTTAATTTCGATCTGGCGGCGTTTTCTCACGTGTATTTCGCGCGGTGAATTCGACTTCTGGTTTTTTTTTCTTTTTTTTTTTTTCTTAATTTGTTTCGTTCCGAGCGCGGCGGATCCGAACGTATCGGTTTCCACTAGGACGTGTGTGATATTCTCTCGATTTTTTCACTGTTTATTATTGTTTTGTTTCCGTCCGTTTACAATTGTATATCGATTATTTTCGGTATTTCGATTTTCGAACGAGACAACAGCGCTTTTAAAATCACCCTAATCTCGCTCGAAAATGAAAACAACGAGATAAAAAATAATGGGGTTGTTTTTTATTTTTTATCAAAACCTCTTTTGTTGACATTTTAACATTTTTCTTTTTAATTAAAAATAATAACGTTAAAATCGTACGAAATCGGCTGATAAAGTTTTCAAAAAAAAAAAAGGAAAACAACAATTGTTTTGCAGATATTCAGTGAAGTGTTTCGGGTTTATTCTGGCACTAAAATCAATTTTATAGACCTGAGCACTATTGGAAGTACGATAACGCAATTTTATATATTGCCGTTGGTTTGACGCTGAAACGGAAAATACACGTTTGACGTTTTCTTTACCGATTCCATTTAATGATCGAAACAAAAATAATAGAAATTAAATACACTTTAAATCATCCTGGAAAATCGCTGGTCCGTGTTAAAAGAATCGTTCTGTGTATTATGTGCTCAGGTACTCGACCCAAGACCACTTAATAGTAGTAATATAAATTATTATCGTCGAAATGCATTTTCGAGTTAACGTCAAATAATCGTTTCGGCGGCACGTGCACAAATATTTGAACGCGTCCTGAGAGGTCTTTATAGAATATAATAATTATCTCTATGTTATTAACTATTACTATTATTGGGTTCTGCTGTCAGAGCGGGAGGGTATTGCGGCGGTAGTTTTTATTTTCGTTTTTGTATTTTCGATTTTTTTTTTTAAAAGATTCTGAGCGGAGGAGCTATCGTGGAATGTACCTACCTATCTAATATTGGTTAAACACTATAATATATATGTGTGTGTGTTTTTTTGTCCTTCTATTTACACAATACGTTCCGATTGGATAAACAACCATCGAGTTTTCCTGCTATACATACATATATGTATAGTAGCATATTCTTTTTAATCTAAATATAGTCAATACCGTTCAGCAGGCCTGGGCTTGAAAGTAACTGAAATACATGTATTTGAGATACGTAACCGAGTTATATTTATAAATTGTATTTTGTATTTAGATACTCTTTTTGGGGTAACTTTACGACAATGAAGAAATAACTTGTATTATACAAGTCATCTCCCTGAGGTTATTACTTGACATTTCTTGTACTTATTTAAAAAAAAAAAAATGTGAATTTTGCTGATGGTTGCGCTATTGTTTTAGTAGGGAAATAAATTGAAAAGAATGAATATATGTATATAGTAATTTGAT